GGGTGAAGGAAGGCAGTCGCACTCGACACGAGCGACAGAGCGAAATGCGCTGCAAGACATGTCTAGACCAATATCGCCGCCTTTCAGGTATTATTGCAATGTTTGACATCATTGAAGATATTTGGAATCAAGATGCAGGGTGGATAGGCAACTCAAACAAGTAAATTTACTAAAAAACATGTCAAAGAAGTAAGGTCGTCTGGCCGATTATAATTTGAACAAGACCTTCTGTTTGAGGCTGTCACTCATTCCGGCTCCGCCCAACCTTTGGGCAATTAATGGGCATATATTAGCGTCACCAATAACCACCAACAACCCGGTGCAAACAGACCTTGTCAGGCGGGGAAAAGTCGACAAAGCGACATGGCGCGAAAAATTACAAAGTTCAAATTTTCCAGTCCTGTGCGTCGCTATTGAGGCTCTTCCCCGCGCCTCATCGCCCCGCTTCCAAATTCAGTGCACGATAGGGTGTAAACTCTACACATGGACAAAGTAAAAACCGAGAAAAGTCGACCAGAAGCCAGGGAGGGAAGGGATAAATGGCGACCAAATTTGGGGACTTCACTCTTCAACCACCACCCCCTCCTCCTTGACGCTCCCGGCCCGGGTATTTGACGGAAACTCGTCCACTTATCGCATGGAATATGTAGAACCGCACACAGACAGTGAGAAGCATCGTGAGGGCGTCGTGGAGGCTCGATGTGGCGCGTGTTTCAACCGTGTTTCAACGGCTTTCTTGTTTCGGCCATTCACTTGCGTGTACTCGCCTCGTCCTTGCAGATGCGACCGTGCCTCTTTGGCCACGTGTGTACATCTGTCAACTCTATCTGAATCCAATGCGGCGACGACCTGGCACGAACACTGGCATCAGGAACTTGACCAAGGTAAAACCGGCAGTTTGAAACAAGCGATCGTGTCTTTTTTTTTTCTTTTTTTTTTTCCATTCCCCAACTTGTGCCCTGCCCTGTGATTGCACGCTGCACGAGCCGCCCCACTCACACTGCAATGATGCCCCGTAGTCGACCTGCACCCGCGCCGCGCCGCGCCGCGCCGCACACGACCCTGCTGGCCTAGACTGTACGCTGTGCTGAACGAAACAATGACTTTTTTTCTCACTTTCTTCCCCACATGTTGGTGATGGTTCCACAGGCGTCCGCGACCCTCCACCGATGCTATCATCATGAAACAGAGCCACCTTCAGGTAAGTCACCAGTTCCCACCCCAAGGTAAGTCAATGGGAAGCCGGCTCTTCCAAGACTCCAAGGAACTCCAGTGCCCCAGCGGCCTTTCGTGGTCCCCTCGAGCCCTGCCGCGGACTGCCTGCTTGGTACGTGTGGCAACATGCTATAATGATGTTGTGCAAGTGTCACTGGGGCGGGAAGACATGTCATGGTCGACTGGTTGGTGTGACTTTGGGTTGGTGGCACCGACGCTGGGTGCCTCCACCCCAAAGGTCCGCCGATCGGCCGCCTGGCACTGTTTTCATGCACAACACACTTGTACAACATCACTGTAGTGTGGAGCCGCGGGTACCGGGCCGGCAGCGGCGAGGCGGCGGGCCCAAAAGCCCAAATGCGTCAATCTTCGGAGCCCGATAGCGGGCCTCCCGAGCGAGCTGCACCGTTCTTACTGTAGCAATAGATAGTTCATACTTAGCACTAGTAGCATACAACGTAGAAAGGGCGGGGTACCAATAGTACGGCCAGGCCAGGTCCCCGACCACCCAATGCCGCCATTGGGGTCCATTACGTCCGTGCGCCTTCGCACCACCAGAAACGTGTAGTCAGTACCAAGTCGAGTCGAATGTACTAACTGGCGGGACGGTAGGACTGAGTAGAGAGACGTAGAATTTTTTCCCCAGAACCGAACCGAGGCAAAAAGCGAACTTTGCGCCTTTACTGCACTTCGGGGTTTGGACCTTGCGAGCCGATTTTTCAAGATTCGGATCAGCCAAAGTTTGTTCTATCTAACAATGTAAAAATATCGATGGAAAGTATGTTGGGCATGGTGGTCATTTTTGGGGCATTTTGCCCCAGTCATTTGCATTACGTTCGACCTCGACCTCAAGTCCCCCCTCCACCCCACTTTTCGGCGCTTTTTCGATGTGACTATGTTTATAGACACTAATGAACATGTTTAGACCAATAAAACCATGGAAGTGCCGGATTCCCCCAATTATGCTGATTTTGCTGAATTCACATTGGCCGAAAGTCGACCCGGCTTTCGACATGGGGTCTACTTGGATTCACCACAACTGCAGAAAACAATCACACATATACAATAGAAGTAATTTTAAGCAAAATTTTCGGGATTCAAGGACGTGATGTTCGCGACACCACGTCTTTGGGAGGCCTGGCTTGAGCAGCAGGAGTGAGATTTTGGGCTCAAACTTTGGATTTGAGCAAAACATTGAGATGACTAACAATTGGAAAAGTAAGAGCGGTATAGATACTGTCCAACACAGAGCCAACCACCCCCTGAAAATCAGCCAGCTGGTGGCGATTTCGTAATACACGGCCTACTTTACCTACCAGCGTCATAAATCAAAGATAAAACCCAGTCAGCTGCTAGAAAGCGCAAAGGAAGGGCAGGTGGTAGGTCAAGGGACTCGGTGGGAGGCCGTCGTCCGGAACCGGCGCAAAGTGCTGCCAACCCAACGATCTCACGATACAAGACTGTCAATCCTTTGAAACTTTGGCAAACAGAGTACAACACATATTAAACCAGGAATCCCGAGCGAGAGTGAACAATCTACGATGGTGGCCCCGAAAGTGGGCAGTGTATGGAATCCAGCTCAAATCGGTGCTCCAGCGGCGTCTCACGACGCTTCTCCATCTAGACCAACGGTATCGTGGCACCGCGCTAGCCACAGGTGTTACGAACATAGAACTACTTGCTCCAGCAGAGGAATCGCCATGGAAGGTCCTCAGAGGCCATGCGATCCGATATTCGGTGGATTTTCCGCCCAAACGGGCTCGGAGGCCCGAATCACCCGACCGGTCAAAGATCATGTCATAGCATGCTATATTTTGGCGTAAGACAACATTAAAACTTGGAATCTGGTGATAAAGCGGATGTAAGGGCCTTCAGGGCTCCGAAACGCTGTGTTCTGTTACCTGTTGGCAAAGTGCCACGATTTGACTGTGAACCAATTTCCGTACTCAGGGTCCACTAGAGGTTGCGCCATTCAAGCCACAGCTATATGGAACCAGCGCACACTTGAATCGCCTGCGGGCGGCGATGGAACCAGGTGAGGAGCCGCAGAAAGGGCGTATTCATGGCCTGGACGAGAATTCAACAAAACGACCATGATGTGCTTCTGGGGTCGTAGCCTCGATGCCATCCGCTTTCAACCATGTTTCCGACGTTTGGTATGCATGAATATACTGCTGAAGCTCTAGGACGGCCGGGAGACCTCGCTTTCGGTCAGAAACCCAGGAACGCCTTTTGTTCACCTGAAATCGCGGCAAACCCGCCCAGCGATATTGAGCTCGTTTTTACCACCATCCAAGGCCTCCAGACATGGAATTTCGTGTGGAAAACCGTATTCCAGAAGAGGGAGATGTAACAACAAGATGAGTTGGAGATACGAGTTCAAATGCGACCCGGCCGAAACGACACCGAAACCCTGACAGCTCGCCGTTCACGCCATGTACACCCTAAAATCCTCCTCCCACCACACGAGCACAGTTGCATAGTGAGGAAATAGCAAATTCCAGGTGTTCGGACAGCTTTGCAGCAGTTTTGGCCAAAATATGCCAACCTGGCCCCAAAAGCCGACTGTGCCGATCTCGGCTCCAATCATAATTATTTTTTCACCGGCACGCTTTCCAGCATATTGGAGATGGGTTAGATGATTTCCCATCATCAGACCGTCGATTATATCCTCCTGTATGGGTGAAGTGCAAACCACCCCTCAAAAACACCGATTTGGAGGGGTCGCAAATGACCATCTTCCCGTCGACTTTATCCCGCTTCACCACTATCAGTATATTGCCGACATTGTAAAAACACAAAGTACAGCCGAAAGTGGAGGTTTGTACATGCTTTGTCGAAATGGGGTGGGTTGGAAGGAAATTTTTTCCAAGTTCGAAAAAATTCGAGTTTTAGCCTGGTGACTTCCATTCGAGACTTTTATGACCGACGAACCATTGTAACCCACATTAAATTTGCATGGGAAATCCGAAAATACCATCCGCGAGGTGATGGCTCGTGTCTACTCGTCAGGGCAAATCGCTTGTTTGGGCTTCAGGCCACGCCAAGTGCTCGGAGCGCCGTTTTTTCAAGCGCAATCGAGTTTACACGATATTATAAGGATACCCTTTTGGAATTTCCGCCAGAAACAGCTCAGGTCGGGCAGGGCACCCGAGCGAAGCCCGCCAGCGATTCCAGTCTCTGACCTTCCCTCCGCCCCATCTCCACTCCCCGGCGTCCGTTCGCCTCCGTTTCAATTTTAGAATACTCCACATACATTCTAGTTTCTATTTCCAACGCGGCGAGGCTGGGGAAAAATCCTATCCAAATCTGTTAGTATAGGTCATTTTTCCTAGTGAATTGGGCAAACCCCACTCCCCTTCTCATCAAGCTTCCCCTTCGACCGAGAACTGCGAGCGAACACGTCACACGAAAGGGACGCACACGACATTGTCAATCGAGCACTTTCCTCAAGAAGACGCACGAGCGACCGCCCCCCCCCCCAAGCATTGAAGCATGAGCATGCAGTACAGCGTGCCGGCGCCCAAGCGCAGAGACAACACTGCCAGTGCTGAGGACGACAATCTGCCGCCAGACAGCGAGGCGCGCGCGCTTCCCCCGCTGCCTCAGATGGACATGTCGAAGAGACTGCCACCCGGGCAGCGACCGCCTCCGAGCACCAAGCCGAGCGTGCCCATGCTGCGGGGCGCCAGTGCGGGCGCCTTGTTGACTGGCAATAATCCTCCGAATCCTGCTACTGCTGAGCTCCCAGCACCACCACCACCGCCAATGGCTTCGCGCCCGCCGCTGCCACTGCCCAAGAACGCAACGCCGTTCGATCTCAACCAGCTGCACACCGCGTCCGGGAAGGGCGGACTGGGAGCCGCCAGCACGGGGTCGTTGAATCGCCTTCCGCCCAGCAACAACCAGCACAACAACAACAACAACAACAAGACAGGTTCAAGCAACACCTTTGAAGGGACGAGCGAGCCCGAGCCGCAGTATGAAGGCATTGGCAACTTTAAAGTTGCACTCGCGCCCAATCGAGCGACAGCAGCCGCTGAAGAGCCTGCATACGAAGGAATTGGCGACCCGGCAGCAGCTCGTTCCATGGTTGCCAGACTGGGATCGCCTCCGCCGGTTCCCACGCCAAACAAGCCACCGCCAGTGCCAGGCCAGCTCCCACCTCCGCCCCCAGACCACCTGCTATTGTCGAGCAGCAGCAAGCCTCCTGTTGCACCACCACCAGTGGCAGCGCGCCCGCCAATTGCGCCGTCGTCTGCCGCCTACATCACTCCCACTCCGGCGTCCCCGCCGCCTCTTCCTCCAAGCGCCGCACGCCCGCCGATGGCACTTCCACCAGTGGCCGCCCGCTCGCCAGTTCTGCCGCCTTCCACGGCTTATGCGGCACCATCACCCGCAGCACCCGCCGCACCGCTTCCAGCCCCGGTCGCCGAGTCGCCTGAGGTGAGCGGCTACGACCGGCTGCAAAAGGCACAGCCGGAGGGCCTGTACAACGACTTGCGCAACGACGGCCAGAGCGCGTCCGCGCCTCCGCTGCCGTCCCGCGTCGGCACAATTCGAGCGCCGCCGCCGGCGTATCAAAAGGCGGCATCCGTTCCACCTCCGACGACAACCTCTCCCTTGTATTTTGACACCCAGCCGCCAGAGTATGCATATGCAGCGAGCGGCCCAACCGGCGAGAACTACGACGAGGCTGGATACGTGGAGCATGAACCTCTCGCGGGTCGCCAAGCCGCCATTCTGTACGAAAGCGCTCCGCCGCCCCCCGTCAAGGCAACAGCGCCCTCGAACGCCGGCACCATGCGACGTGCTGATAATAAAGCTTTTGCCCGTGGACCCCCGGCGGTCGAAGGCTTTGATGTGGCGCCAACCATACCTCCGCCCCGCGGCGGGCAGATTATTGGCGCTTCGGCGCGTCGGCATCTGCTTGCAACCATCTTTCGCAACAAGCTCGTCGCTCGAGAGCAGCAGCGCAGAAGCCCGCCCTCCGGAGTGCTGGAGGTCACAGTCACGAGCAGCGACCCCCACGACAAGCTGTACTTTGAGTCGCTGCCGGCTGAGGTCACTGGTGAGACTGTACTAGCTCGAGTCATTGCTCGGCAGCATCTTCAGTCGTTTGCGGACTTTTTCGCGCTTTCTTACAAGCAGGATGGCTATGGTGAGTCGACAGCATGGAAGCCGTGGGTGGAAAGGTGGATGTTTGAATTTTTCTGCGATGCTTGTTCGGCCTGCCTTCTTCTTACCTGTGATGGATGACCATGGTTCTGTTTTTTTGGTGTTTTTTTGTTTTCATTTCTCCCCTCCCCCCGGCTTACTTTCAACTTTTCAGATCAATGGATGATTCCAGAACTACCGCTCAGCATTCAAATTGACACCCGCGCTGCAGTCATCCTCATTCTGCGACAGCGGCTTGTCAAGATGCCCCCGGTGCTGCTGCTTGGCAACGAGCGATTCATCCATCTCCTCTTCAACCAATACAAGTGGTTTGTTCCTCGAGGCAACATTGCCGTCACCAGCGAGGCCCTGATTGTCCGCCTCGCAGCCTTGCATCGGCACGTGTCGAACGCCGACTATGACTCGTTTGCCCTCAAGACTTGTCTGCCTCCCCATTTGAGTGCGGACGAAACGCAACACCGCTACTGGCACCTCCGCATCTCGCGCGCCCAGCAACGCATCAAGGCATTGTCCACACTCGAAGCCATGCTGCAATACATGCTGCTGCTTCGCCAGTCCGTGACGTACGGAGCCACCATCTTTGAGTTTGGTGCACAGGGAGTTGTAAGTGACCGGGTTTGGATTGTTGGACTTGATGCACAAACTTTTGCGTTGATTCCTCCCCTGACCCTCCCTCTACTTCTATTGTTGTCTCGCCATCAGCACCCCTACACTGCACTCGGACTTGCTGAGGATGGCATCTTCCTCTTGCAATTGACGGCTGCCAGCGCGGATCGCCGAGTCGAATTTGTTCCTTTCAACAGAGTTGGACACTTGTTGGAAACGAGCACTGATCTCACCATTTCTGTCGATACTGTGCGTTGTAAATTGCAAGATGAGATTCGAGCGATGATTGTTTGGGGCATGTCTTTGCGCGGATGATCTATGTGACTCATTTTTTTGTTGGCGTTCCCACGACAATCACACGCGCAGAAATCGTACTCCTTCTTCGAGAGTGATACACTCCGACGTGCCGTGATTATCGATCTGTTTGATGATTATCGCACCCTCTATCGCGTTCAGCTCAATCCGGCCTTCCAAGAGCAGACCGACGTTTCGTTTTTGCCCGACGTTACGCATTTTGAACCGCCGCGTCCAAGAGAGGTTCCCGATGAAGCCTTTTCCCGCGCCGAGCTCGTCAAACACACGTACACACGACTGTATGTGGAATCTGACACGAACATTTTGTCATTCTGTGCGACTTTTTTTTTTTTTGTGTCCTCACTTTTAATGTTGCCTCGTACAGGGCCGTTGCCGCCAAGCTACGCGCACCGAGTCTTGTTCTTGGCGCAAGTCTGCCCGGCAATGTTGCCACAGGCATGCTTCAGTTTTACGAACAGCTCGATGCAGCGATTGACGGCGAGAAAGCTGACGAGTTGAATTTCTGTTCACTGCAACTCAACTTTACCGAGCTCAACATTGTGTGCACCGCTCTTCGCGAATCCATTGTCTACGTGTGAGTGAAGGAGGAGGCGATGGGGATTTTTGTTTGAGGTGTCGTCTTTTTTTTTTTTTGTGTGTGTGTGTGTTGTCTCATCGAAACTTTCTGCTGCAGTCCCGCGCCGGGGAAGACTTTTGTCGAGAATTTCCATTGGACCAAGCTCGACCTTTCAAACAATCCAACCCTTGCAGTCGAAAGCACTCTCGGAGTCCTGTACGTCAACTGCAGTTCGCTTCGCTTCGCGTTCAGAATTTCGATCGTTTGTTCACCAATTGTTCTCCAATTGTTCTGAAATCTTTGAAGGACAAAGCTCTTGCAACGACCGTCTCCTTTCAAGGTGCTCAACGTGTCGAGAAACGCCTGGTCTGGTTCTCGATGCGAAGTGGTAAGCATGGAAGAGCGGTTGCGTTTCTTGTGGTGCCGAGCTCTCAACGTCGCCCATCCTCCGCTCCCGGTTCTTGTTCGCCTTTCATTCTCCCTGTCCAAACCAACCGTTCTATTCTCTGCAGATGCTGGGGAAACTCCTTGCTGGAGACTGCACCATTACCGACTTGCAACTCAACAACAACAACTTGGAAACGCATGCGGCGATCAGCCTGCTGGCGGCGCTCAAATCCACCAGCTGTCTTACCTCTGTCAACCTCCGCAGCTGCAACATCACCGATCCTTTCTTTGTCGCGCTTGGCCAGAACATGCGCGAGAATCGCTGTCCCATCACAGCAATCGACGTTGCCCACAATCCCATCACGGACGAAGGACTGCGCGCTTTTGTCGCGGCACATGAAATCTCGCCCGTCATCACGCGCCTCGTCGTGTCTTACACGAAAATTACGCACGTTGGAGTGAAAGCCATGTTTGAAAGCTTTGGCTTTGTTCGCTGCCTCTCCTACCTGTCGCTCGGCAACAACAAGCTGACTGGCAAGGTCGCCGAGAGCCTTGCCACGCTGCTGATGTCGCGCGACTGCAATTTGACTTTTCTGAACATTGAGGGTTGCGAGATTGACCACAAGGCGATTGAAATTGTGAGTTGGGACTTTGGGTTTTTGCTTGCTTCGTGTCCACCAATGTTGGACATTTACATGGGCGTGTCCCGTCTCATGATATTGTCCCTTCTCTGTGTGTAGATTGTCAATTCGCTGAGGGAAAACAAGCTGTTGAAGAAGTTGGTGATTGGCCACAACGACCTCAGCAAATCGGCTATGAAGACGCTGTCTTCCATGCTTCTTGTCAACACTGCGCTCAAAGAGTTGACGCTTCGTGTCAGCTACGATATCGATTCGGTACGTTCTTGTTTTCCGGTTTGTCCTCTGTTGCGTTGCGTTGCGCCGAGAGACGCAGAGCTCGAATGTCTTCCTTGTGTGCTTGTTTCTTTTTTTTTTTTTCATTCATACCTGGACGATTCCAATTTGCAGAAGGGATACAAGTACCTGTGGGACGCCTTGGCTGTGAATGTCAACATTCAAGTGCTGGACTTGTCCAACAACAGGATGGAGAGCAGTGACTTTGCGGGGCTGGCCCAGGCGCTGGGACAAAACACAATCCTCGAAACGCTCGTGCTCTCGAGCAACCCAGCACTTGCCAATGAAAAGGTGCTTGCGGCACTCATCGATCCATTGCTGGTCAAGCCATGCGTCACCCTGCGACGGCTCGATTTGTCGGTCTGTGGCTTCACGGATAAGCACGCTGCCAAGCTCACCGAGCTGATGCGACGCGCTGGATCTATCCAGCAATTGTGTCTTCGAGCCAACAAGTTTGGTATTACGGTACGAGTATTGGACAATAAGGCCGTTTTGCGTGGCTGGAGCTTTTGTTTGTTTTTCGGGACTGACTCTTTCTTTCTGCTCTGGATTGCTCGTGTCGTGCGCAGGGCATCAATAATCTACTTCGAGGGGTCACCTTGGCACCCATGATATCCCATCTCGATCTGCTTGGACACGTGGTGCACAAGGACTCTGAATTTATCGATCTCTACGACCGTGCCGTTGCGAGTGTTTTGCGCACCGTCCTTGTGGATGGCATGAATGGGTCTTGAGCTCGTGCAAATGGCTCTGTCGCATGCTCTACTTTGTATGTTTTGTTTTTTTCTGCCTCGTGCTAGTTGTTGTTGTGGACCAACGGAGATCGTCCAAAGTATAGTTAATAAAAACAAAAATAAAAATAAACTTCTACGCTTTTCGCGTGGCAAGTGCGCGCGTTGATCCTCGTCGGGTCTCTCTATCATGATCATGTTGCACCACTTGGCATTGTTTGCGTCCTGGATCTCTCAGTTCTTCCGTCGAGCTCACTCAGTCTTAAGTCCACTTTCCACGATGCTTTCCAGCCAACGTTCCGCTTTGGCAGCGACGACGCTCCTTCTCGGCCGGAGAGCGCTCAGCACCAGCGCGGCCGCCTCTGCCTACAACAACCCAGCAGCCTCCAAGAAGTCAGCCCCACAAGGCAAGCATGCCGATCGCGAGGAGGACATTGACGACGGCCCAATGCCCAACGCGCGTCCGCCGCCACGACCAGTTGAGTAGCGCCTTCCACCCCTTCCCCTTTCCCCCTTCCTCCATCACGCATTCCCGGCACATCTCTACACTGTTGTGATGAAGCAGCCTTGCCTGCTTGCGCTTTGAGTGGTTGCGGGGGGGGGGTTTCGGCTCGCTCCGGGCTGGCTGCTCGTGCTCCATCGTCAAAAAACCAAGTCCATATGCTTTTGAGCGCTCTGTGCAGCAGTCTAGCATCAGCAGTATATGTGTTGACATCCGCTCCAAAAATCCCGACGTCCTGATGATGCTCGTGTCTGTTAATGTATCCTAACCATTGGGCTGTATTGAATTGCTTGGTACGTTTGTTTGGTTTGTTTTGGTAGATCACAAAGGTCTCTGTGGAAGAGGAAAACCGTCGAGCGCTGTTTGTCAAGGAGTTTTCGCGACACCGCTTGCGAGAAGACCTGAAATGGAAGACACAGATGCGCCAGATGCAGTACCAACAGAATAAGGCCATGCAGCTCTTGTACAAGATCCACCCGATGCTGTATCTCGCTGCAGCTCAGAATGACTTGTCGACGCCTCCAGCGTCGCGCCCGCTGCCAACCCTGACGCCTCCTGTCGAGGGCTACTCTGCCGCTGCAGCTCTCGCCGCTCGCAAGGCTGCCGGTGACGACGATGCCGCAGCTCCTGGTGCAGATGATGCAGGCGCACCAGCAGCATCACCCTAAAAACCACTATTCTCGAACGAATGAAAACAGAAACGTCCTTGCTGAGCGGTCGGCAGCAGAGCAACCCACACAGCCCAGCAAGATGCGTTGTCGCTAGCACAAATAAACAACATCTTTTCAATGTCTACACGCTCAGCACAATACCTGAAGCATTTTTTTTTCGGGTTTCAATCGCTGCTGATCTCCAACACCACCACCCCCCGCAACTTGCTCTCGTGCATTCATGCCAGCATCACCAGTCTTTGATCCATTCTAGTCTGTTTCGTCTAGCACAAAAACTTTGCCCCCACGTCAGTCTCTTTTTTTGAGTTTTTACTATGAGCGGCATTGTCGAGCTGAACGAGGAAGGCGGCGAGGTTATCGATCTGACTGCCGAGGAGCAGGCACACGGACACAGCCACTCTGGACCTCACGCACACTCGCACTCGCACTCGCACTCGCATTCGCACGGCGGCGACGACGACGATGAGCACGACGACGACAACGACGAGGACGACGAGGCGGCTGCATCTGCATCTGCCGCGAACGTTGCTGCCTTCCTCGCCAACCTGGCTGCCGAGCTGGCTGAGGACCAAGCAGCCGGACGCGTCGACGGCGCGATCGAGGAAGTTGAGGACGACGACGACGACCAGTACGAGGACGAGGACGAGGACGACTCGAAGCAGCTTGCGACCAGCGACGCTGCTGCTGCTGCTGCTGCCGAGGCCGACGACGATGCCGAGATCGACAACATGGACGACTCGGTGCGTTCTTCTGTATTGGCGGGGATGTCTGATGCGTGGTTGGATGCATATGGGGTTTGTGGATAGAGAGCGAGAGAGCGATTTGATGAGCGACGTTATTGAGTTATGGAGGAGGAGCAGGAGGAGGAGGCTTGAATGGCCGTGTGAGGGATCGATGCTGGGGACGTGTGGTGGTGGTGGTGGTGGTGGTGGTGGTGGTGGTGGTGGTGGTGGTTGGGCAACTGAAGCGAGGGGGATGGGACAGTGATGTGGGCCAAGCACATGGACTTGGCTGCGCTGGGCCGCGGATTGCCGTCCGCCTGAAGATGCACTGCAAGCAGGCAGCGACAAGAGCAGATGCATTCAACCGCTTTGTGGGTGGCTTTCAACGCACGACGGCGATGGCGACGAAGCAGAGGCCAGAGCGAGGGAAGGAAAAGAAAGAAAGGGACGGCAATGGAAAAGTCCTTACAAAAAAAAAAAAAAAAAAAAAAAAAAAAAAAAAAAAAAAAGCCAAGACATTACATTGGCATTGGCTGTATTGGCATTGGACCAAAGTTGCTCAGAAATCAATCTTGTTGTGCACTCGTTGACGCCGAATTTTATTATGATTACTATTATTTGGATCTGCAAAACCTCGTGTGAGGATGACTAACTCTGATCCGCTTTGGACTTTTTGCAGGAGTTTGACTACCCCGAATCGATTGGCGAGCGCCTCGCTGGTCTGAAGGAAATCATCCCCGCAGGACCCCGCAATGCCATCTATAGCGCTGTCACCTTGAGCACATGGGCAACCAAGTCGCTTGTCCGGCTATCTGGCAAGATTGCCTGGGTTGTCGGCACTTCCGCCCTCATCACCTTGGTGCCCCTTGGTCTCGAAGTCGAGGCCGAGCAACAATTCGTCATGTGGGAGGCTGAGCAACAGTCCACCATGATGCAACAGCAGCAGGTGTGTGATGGGCTTTGTGTTTTCTTGCAGACATTCTCTGTCGTTTGTTTTTCTGGTTTCTCACATTTTTTTGTTTTTGGTTTCTCTCGCGTTCTTTTTTGTTTTCGCTGGATGGTATTCAGATGCTTCAACCGAACGTCTTTGACGCTTCCCAGCCCGTTGCTGCCAAGTAAAAAAACAAGTCTCGTAGCGCCCTTCATCCATTCGAAATGTCTCCCTTTTTTAAACTTGTAAACCTCAAAAGCGAAAAGCAACCGGGGGGAAGTGGTTTTTTTGTTGTCGTCTCCATTCTGGTTATTGTTGTTTCTGTCAATTGTGTGAGTGTGTCCCCGTTCCTCCGTAATGTATTTTCTGCTTGCATTCTTTGAAAAAGCCATTTGAGCACTTGATTAGCAGACAAACGAACATTGGAAGGTTACTCGGTCTTGGAGTGCTTGCCCTGCTTCTCCGTGCTTCTGGGGTTGGTCTGAGTGCTGGTTTGGGCAGACTTGGAGGGAGTGGCAGGGTTGTTCGCTTTGGCGGGAGCGGCAGTGGTTGTCTTGGTGTCTGGGTTGCTCGATGCAGCAGTGGCGTCTGCCGGCGCTGGATCGGCGATCGTCACAAACCAGCAGAACAGACCAAACAGCAGAGTATCCGGCGACAAACGGGCGCAGCGCTCGTTCAGCTTGAGCGCGGAAAGCGGCGCGATGGATGCCAGAACCTTGAGCACGCCGACAGCGACCACCACCACAACAACCAACTCTGCCAGGGTTTCGACAGGTTGCCACTTCGGCAAAAAGTTGCGAACAGGAATGATGTCGTGCGCGCCGAGCGTGAGCGCCACGGCAGAGTAGAACGCGGCCTTGGTGCCACTATCAAGCCCGAGCAGCGATGCATCATCAGTCATCAGGTTTCAACAAGCGCAACACGTGCACTTAAAGCAAGGCCCATAGAACCTATCAAACACCGCGACTCACAGCTCAGGGGCACGCAGGTCGACTGAAATAGGAGCCCCGCGCAAAGCCTGATCAATCACAGAGAAGATGGACGAGCCCGCACCTGCGGCGAATGCACAAGTGGATGCATTCACGCACGGGAGGTCGAGTGATGCGAGGTGAGCAGATTGGAAAAGCATCGGACTGATAGCACAGGGAAAGGCAAAAACACGATTGGCAGCAAAAACACGACCTACCGTTCAACGTGCCGCACACAATGGGAGCCACAAAGTACTTTGTGCTACCAGCGGCCAAAACGCCGTCTTGGACCTTGCGAGCGCGGCGAATCTCCTTTCCGATCGTGAGGAGAATCTTGACGTCGCGCAAGTTGAAAAGCCAGAAAGTCAGAAGTTTTGTCGGGATGCCGAATTGCTGAACAAAAGCCACGATACAATGCTCCTACCTTGACTGGAGCAAAATGGCACAGCTTGTAGCCAAGGTCAAACGGGGACAGGAACACGCAAAGCCTAACGAATCAAAGAGCAAGGCTAGATGTTGTGAGCGACATTCAAATACATGTACTGTCTCAATGTTGCAGTGCAGCATGAGAGCTGAGAGAGACTCGGACTCTACTTTCTCTACTTCCCCCCTGTCTGAGAATCTGAGACAATCCCCGCCCACGCCCCTCGTCCTCCTACGCCAGCCACTTTTGCGTCTTCATCCATTACCAGCAAATCAGAACAGCCTTGAACTCGTAGTCGTTCTGCAGGAACTTGAATGGCTGGCCCAGCACGACATCGACGGCCAGACCAGACCCGATGCAGCAGAGCCAGTAGCCGAGGATGCTGGCGATCGGACTGGTGACGGCAAAGCGGCGCGCGTTGGGATCGCTCTTGCGGATTGCGGCGGCAGTCGAGAGGCAGTGCGCAACAAAGAACATTGGGAAGATTGGCAGCGTTGTCGCCAGCGAGAGCAGGTTGGCGGGCTCGAACATGTCCAGATCGATGGACTCGAGCCACGGCTGCAGCGCCTCCTTGACCAGTTCCATTCTGTGAAAAAAATGTGACTGAACTGAACTGAACTGAACTGACCAGTGATTCACTACAGTACGGTTGGGGGGTATGAGCAGCGTTGTTGAATGATCAGCAAACCCAAGCGTTCTACGTTTGGATTTAAAGCGAACACACAAAGCTCCGAGGAATGGCCAGTGATGAACATACACTATACATGACGCAGCGGAGCACAGCACAAAAACAAATGATTTTTCGTGTATTGAGACAAAGGAAAGGACAAAAATGACAAAAGGAGGGTAAAAAAAAAGGGGGTAATTTTAGCGTGGAGAAGTAACCGAAGGAGACGACAGAGTGGACGAGGTCAAGAATGAAGACGGAAGGCGAGAGCTAGGGGCGGGGGACATGAAAGAGGCGGGCGGGTGAGACAAAGGTGGTGGAGTAGACGTTGAAGTGGCTGGGGAGAACAATTCTCGCTGCTGCACAGCGAGCCACTCATCGCATTGCTTTTGCATGGACTCGAGAACAATTTCCATGCGCACTAGCGTCTGTTGTTATCATTGTCATCGTCATCACGAGTCAAGTGTCAGACAAAAGGGATTTCTCAAAGCAAATAGCAGAATGTTCATCCAGCAGCGCGGATGTGGTACGCTTGTTTACCTGTTGCGTTGTTTGGATCGGTGCATCTTGCGACGCAAAATGACTCAACGTTTGTGCCAACACCTGAATTGCAAAGTCAACGGCATCAATAAGAATCAAAACGTTCAAGTGGGAAATGGATTTAGTGAGTGAGCAGGGTATCGACGCAAGCAACGTTCTAGTCCAAACAAAGCAGGATACCAACGGCTCACTACAAGTAGGCCCTTTTCGCCCCCCTTTTCTTCTTCTTCTTCTTCGCTCCTCAACCCCCACCTCAGATGCTCCAAAGCCCATCACACCACCACATTGCCAACACGGCGACTCCACCCCCCCAAGTCTCATGGCCGATCGAGCCCGTTGCAAAACCCCCTCGGGTTCAGGAGCAGGGCACGAAATGCTGCGATCGCTGCTGATCGAGCGAATGACCGCGGCTTTGGGACGAACAGAGCCAACCATCGCACCCAAGCAAAGGAGCCCACAACTCGTCCCCGCTCCTTCCATGGCATCAGTGGTGGTGGGTGGTGGGTGGTGGTAGGTAGAAGGAAGGCATTGGGCTCCTCACCTCATCCGACCGCGCGCCCTTGCGGAGCTGCCTCGCCAGGCCGCCGACAGCCTTGACCGTGTCCTGGACGCGCTCGGTCAGGATTACTTTTGTTGCTTGGTCTGGGCCGCCTGCTGGGCCGGGCTGGGCTGCCATGCTCCACGGCGGGCGGTGGCAGTGCGCGGGGCAGAGGGGAGCTTGGGAATAAGCTTGAAGGGCTGGCTCGAGGCAGTCGAAGAGTTGGCAGCAACGCGGGCAAGGATGGTCGACACGGTGGACGAGATGCGGTTGAGCGTGCGCGGGATGTTGCTCGCCGATGCGGACATGGAATAAGAAAGAGAGGGAAGGTCGGGGTGGAGGGGGAAAAATGGACTGAGCTGAAACGAAACTCAATGCAAATCCATACAAGGACCAATCCGATGGTCGTGCAAATCCATTTACAATTACAATGCGAATTCGGTGACAAGTGTGAATGTAACGGATTGCAACGGGTCAGCAATCAGCGCCGCGCATCACATTCAAAGTCGAACAACCCGTCCAAAACGCGCCAAAGTCTAAAGACTGTGTGAGAGGGGGTCAATACTCGCCTGAGCACTGCAGCTGTATTCAAACAAGTGCACTTGGGTCGCACATGACAGCGCTTGATCTTTCAGTAATGCAGGTTACATTCAGTCTTTTCAATCCTGATATCTAATCTTGACCTTTTTGGCTGGCAACACTTTTGCGAGCTTTATCTCTTCTGGCTTTTGATTCCTGGTTTTACTACTACTTTTACTACTATTACTACTCCTATTTTTGCGTATGGACGTGGTCGAGCAGCACGCTGCGGCTGGTCTGAGCCTCCTCGTCGGCGGCGATTTCGATGCTGCCGCTGCCCACTTCCGCGTCCACAGCGACGCTTCGCCGCTCCACTCGCTCGGCCTCTCCTACGTCGCCTTCATGGTACAAAAACAAACCCGCACCCGTCCTTTCTCCCCTTCCCAACGGCACTGCACTGTTATTTGAACTGACTCTTTTGGTGTTTGGTCGGTTTTTTGTTCCGCACCTCCCTCACAACACACACACACACACACACACACACACACACACACACACACACACACACCAAAATCATAAAATCAATCAATTACCAGCGTGCATTGATTACATTCGAGGACGACGATATGGAGCTCGCCAAGACGGCGTTCGCTGCGACCGAGCAGCTGTGCAGCGGGAAGGCGAGCCAGGTCGCGTCAAAGCTCCATCCCGGTGATGACGCAGCGTCAGCAGGAGCAGCGGAGCTCCTCGACGACGATCTGGACGACGATCTGGACGACGACGAGAGCGATGGCATCACGGCCAGCGTCACACGATCGGCGTGGTCCTTCACGTCCAAGCTGTTTGGTGGCGGCGGGAGTGGCGGGAACGCGAGCAATCGGGCTGCTGGCAAGACTGGCTCCTCTGCCTCTGGGGCGGGCAATCGTGGCTCGGTCGTACTGCCCAGTGCAAGCGCAAGCGATCCTGGTGCGACAGAGGCAGCCGCGCGGCGTTCACTGGCCAAGGCGCGCGCGAAAATCATTCGCAAGTGCGCGCTCGGAGATACAAACCTGCTGCTCGGGCTGGTCACCATCGTCCAGCAAGAGTCCGTCATGGGTTTTGTTCGCGGCGGCCTGCTCATTCGCAAGGCATGGAAGGCATACAGTCGATGTCAGGAGAGAATTGCCGGCATTGAAACGCTGCTCTCGTCACAACTGCTGCCGCCGTTCCCGTCGCGAAGCGCGTCCGACCCGTTCCCATTCCTTGAGTCCCAGCGTGGCACGCAGAGTGCCGCGAGCGACACCCTTCCAAATATTGAGGATCCGTATCGACTTCGAGAGTTGGTCGGGTTTGGCACCGGGCTCTTCAACGTTGCCCTTTCGCTCATCCCGCCACACTTGACCAAGTTTGTCAGCTTTCTCGGGTTTTCTGGTGACCGCACGCGTGGACTGATTGCATTGTGGCAGAGCTACTCTTCCGGCTGCTTTCATGCGTCCTTTTCCGCCCTCGCGCTGCTCTGGTTGTTCAACGGCGTCGGGCAGTTTGTTCCGCTCACCTGGCACGCCAACAACTTTGGCGGCACCGTCACACGCACCACACCACGCTCTGCCCAAGACTCGTCCATCCTCTCCATGGCCGCTGACATTGACGGCAGCGGCGCGCAGGCAGATCCTGCGTGGATTTTTTGGTATCCGTGCTCTGGCTTGACGATGGGCTCCACGCAAAAGCCAGAGTGGTTTCTTGACAGTGCACCCGATGAAGGTGTCACGATCGATCCGTCATTGCTGCAGTGCGAACGCATCCTTGAGCGGTGCCTCGAAAAGTACCACTCGGGCACGCTCTTCCTGGTGATACGAGCTCGCACCCTGCGCGTGCGCCGTCGTCTCGTCGAGGCCAATGCTGTGCTGCAAGACGCACTCGAGAAGGAAACGCAGCGTCCGCTTCGACACATGTGCATGTACGAGATGGGCTGGGTGAACTTGCTCATGCTCAATGTCGAAGCTGCCGAATTTTGGTTTTCCATCCTCTTGCAGGAGAGCAAGTGGGGCAAGGCCCTGTACACGTACATGCTTGCGCTCTGCGTTGGACTAAGTGGACAGTCTCGGCAAGCTTGCACACTGTTCGCAACGGTGCCCGGATTGATCAAACGCGCGTTCGGCGGGAAAATTGTGCCCGTCGAAAAATTTGTCCTCCGACGAAGTCAGCACTATACCGCGCTCTATCCTCAAGACAAGCAGCTGACGAGTTTACCACTCCAGTCGGAGTTTCTATTTTTACTTGTGGAGCTGATTCATTTGTGGTGTGCTTTGCCACTGATGGGCAACGCGCTTCCCATGGTTGCTCATCAACTCCAATGTGAGGAAGTCTATTCTTTGGTGTGTTTGAGGTGGGAGGGGGGGGCTGTCGGGTGAAAACTGCATGTTGACTGCTCACTCTTGATGCTTTGCTTTTTTGCTGTCTGAACTGTGCAGTTCATGCCACAACTTGTAGCGACCCCGAAATGCTATTGGTCAATGGATTGCTCCAGGGCGCGGTCGCGGCTAGTGAAGGACAGGATGCATTGGCTCAAAAGGTATGCCTCTTTCCTCGTTTGGTGAGTGCGATGGAAGGTCGACAAATTTGCTCAACGTTTTCTCGTTTTCCCCGTGTTAGCTTCTGGAATCGGTTGTGGCGTATGAAGGAACACCAAAACGCGAGCGTCAGGCCATTCCCAACGCCCTGTTTGAGCTGGCCATGCTTCATCGAAGACGCGGGAACGAACACAAGGCCGGCCAGTTGCTACAGACACTCGACAAGGCCGGAACAGAGTTTGATATGGCCAACCGGTTGTTTACACGCGTGCATGCGGCCATGCAGATGTCAGCCAAAGCCTAGGTTGTTCTAGTCGAGTGGCTTTGAGCGTACAGTTAAATTTACTCTGTCGTGTGAATACATGAATAAGCGCTGTTTGATATGACAACTTGTTGGTTTCCTGGCAAATTATGACGACGTTGAAGAAGAAGATGATGATGATGATGATGATGAAGAAGCGGCTTGCGCGCTTAGCAAGTGTATCCGCTTGATGAATGCGGCGTGAACAAGCGACTCGATGTCATCGTCGGAGGCCTCATGGACGACTTGCGGACCGTCGGAGCCCTCCAGCGCTCTTCGCTTGGCGGTGGGCGCAGAGACAGCTTCGGCAGCGGTGTCTGTGTTTGCTGTCAAGTCGGATGCTGCTGCCCCGTCAACGGAAGCACCATCGCGGTCTGATTCCGAGTGGGTTCGCTTGCGCTGCGGGGCAACTGCAGTTGAGCTCTCAGGCAGCAAGCGTGCCGTGTCCGCTTCCAACGCATCTGCGCGCGTCTTGGCTGCAACAAGGCCGTCACTAATGAGGCTATCTACTTGTTTGATGCAACTGTGCGGTCGAAGAGGCGCATTGAAAAGAGAGAGAAAAAAAAAGTCAGCAGCACAGAGATAGCTCGAGCGGCAAAACTTTCAGACAGCGTGCACATACCGATCGATTTCAGCAGCCGCAGTTTCTCGCTGAGCTTGCTGCTCTTCCAGCATGGTACGGAGTGTTTCTCGAGCCTGCGGAATCCATAGGGATCAGAAAGAGGGGAGGATTTGTCAATTCCACGTCTTCAACAGTCAATGCCACGCGCTCCAATGCACCGCCGTACCTGGTGAGGACGAAACTCATTCACGAGATGGTACATGTTGATAAACAGCAGCTCGATATCTTTGAGCTTGTCGGCGACCTGCGTTGAGAGTCACATTTGTTTGGTTTCAAATTGAGGAAATTCCACCAGGAGTTGGCAACTCACACCGTCACCGCACTCGTCAAGTGCCTGAGACGCAATCTGTTGTAGTCGATCTAACGTTTACCATTGGGGGATTGCGACAGAGCGTGTCGAGCAGCTCCAGAAAGTTGAAAACAACGGATCGGTTGAGCTTTTTGAGCTCGCTTTTGCGATCTGTTCTCCTCCCCCCCCCAAACAAATTCCACAAACAAGAACAATCAGCACACTGGTTGGAGAGCCCCACGAATGACTGCAGAGTTCCATCTGAGGTCTGTACCGAGGCTGGCTTCTGGCGGGAAGAGCCGCGTCACGTTCAGACTCTCGAGCGACGGCACGAGCGGGGCGTCCGTCTGCAACAATCGCACAAGGACATTTGAACACATGACGTCAGAACAAATGTTCAGTTCAGTCATCACGGACGCGATGGTCGGAGCTCGGAGTGGGACGCGACGCCCAACGCGTCAGATTGAAGCCATGCTCGGCCGCCTCTACTGCTTCTACTGCTGCTGCTGCTGCTGCTCACTGACCTTGAACATCATTCGGAACATGGTGTAGTCGCCAGTGACGGGCGGCGGGGGCTGTGGCGCAGTGCCTTCAGCAACGTTCTCGTCAGTGTACTGCAGGTACGCCTTTGGAGGAGGCGGGAAGGCCGAAATGATCTCTGCCATTTGAACAGTGTATTGGAAAGACTGAGCAGAGCAAAACCCAAAGACTTTGACTGGATCGGGAGGAGTCAAAGGGAACAGTGAGCGGATTTGGAGGGGGGTGGGGTGGGAAACTTGAAACATTGACCACGAAACGAGATTATTGTTGATTTCAACAAGCACAAACGGATAGCAGTGTGCACATGAGCAGTTCCAAACACGGTGCAACATCGTTGAAGTGTATTGAGGTGCGGGGAAGAGGGAAAGGCAACGTTATGAAGGCGCATTTTTTCCATATCTCCGAAAACACTTCGATTCACTCCTGCTTGGGAGTACGAGTCACCACAGGCACGCAGCCTTGCACGAATGGAACACCGGTGAGGGGTACTTGCTTTTGGTAATCCCTGTAGGCTTCGCCAAAGTGACGGAGAAGATAGTACTCTTCCGATCTGAAATTTTGTTGGTTGCAAAAATTTCGCCACGCGTCAGCCCGAGCAGAACAGACCCCTCGACTCTTAACAAAGCAGCAACAAGGCAGCAACAAAGGAGCAACTATCGCGCTTACACGATGCGCTCGCTGAAAAACTTCCAAATGAAAACAGCGTAGCCGACGAGGCAGACAGGGTTGACCAGAAGCAGCTGGGTGCCGACGCTGAAGAGATACCAACCCATGTACGAAGGATGGCGAACGATACTAGAGAGTGCACGCAATGACCCAGCAACGTCAGTACCGAGATGTAACGACGGACGGAGCTACCGAGCGAGAGGACACCATCCGAAATGAACAACAACATACCCGTAAAGGCCATGCTTGATGAGGGTATGATCGTCCTTCTTGGTGTCTTGCACGAGATGGTTGAAGCTGACTCCAGCCGTGTACATTGCGTACTTGCGAATGCCGTCGCCAACCACAATCAAGACGAGGCCTGGATCAGAGTGAAATTCATTGCATCCAAGGGATAGTGAATTTGAATGTGAGGGTCTTCGAGGTTTGTGCAATGGTGCAATGTGCTGAGAACTGGCTTCAAAGCTCTGAAACGCACCAAGATAAACCAATCCAGAAACCTGCTTGACGGATGGGAAGAGCCACTGCTCGAGCCAAAACTCGGCCCAGCTGACAGCAGCGGCAATAAGGTACTCGTTGCTGTGATTCAGGAGGAAGGCTGTTTTGACAAGCAATCACCAAATGCATGAGACATTGGTGAGGATTGCTGTCAATCTGAGCCAAAATTTTTCCAAGTCCTCGTCAAAATTGCAAGATCCGAGTCGCGGAACAAAACTCGTCGCCACGGTACACGATGCACAAACATCCTCCATGCTTTGCCGCGCCCATCTTACAATCGAGATTGACGACTTTGCTGTTGAACCTGGCCGTGACGTAGAATTCACCAAAGTGGAAGACGGACATTGCGAGCATGTAGACGCCCCACGTCCAGACCCTGTCAGACACCCCCCCCCCAAAACAAAATGAACGACAGCATGAGACAAAAGCGGAGCGAGCACACGGAAAATGAGACCAAGCGACTAGGCTGACTTGGGGGGGGGGGACGGAGGCTCAAGCCAGACAGCCAAGCATCAATTCCAAGAGTCCCCTCTCTCCCCGCCCCCAACCTCCCCGCCACACTCACTCGCAGTGCACAAGGGTGACCAAGATGCCCGCTCCGCCGACGAGGCCCAGAAAGTACGAGCGAATGGCAGACTCGTGCAGCATTTTGTATTTTGACGAGGAAAGACTGAAAATCTGAGCAACCGAGATCAAGATGCATCGTTGGAAATGAACAATAAAAAAGGAACAAAATCAGATGGACGTACAGTACTTGAAGGTGGAAAAGGTGGGAAGTGTGGCGGAGACTGCAGGGGTTGCTGCAGGGCTGTGCTGAGCGAGACAACGTCAACCCCCAATGCTTGATGCACTCATTCTACTGCTGGTCGTCGACACTGGGGAACGACTTGGTTGGGTCGATCAGCCGTGTGAACTGATATTTCAAACCTTCTCAGAATGGCAGATTCTCAGTCACCTTTTTTTTTTTTTTGGTCCTTCCTCAAGTCGCAATCTCTGAGCTGGGGGGTTTGTGAATGGCGTTTCAAGGACAACCGCTGCCATTGCATCCTGCACAGCCATTGATGCAGCATCCACCAGGCAATATGATGGGCTGGCAGCCACAGCAGCAGCAGCAGCAGCAGCAGCAGCAGTCAGGCGCAGGACCAGCAGTGCTGCAACCCCATCCCATGATGATGATGATGATGATGCCCATGCAGCCAATGCCACCGATGCAGTCAATGCAGCCAATGCCACCCATGCAGCCCATGGGGATAGGGATGGGGATGGGGATGGGGATGGGCATGATGCAGCAGCCTGCTCCAGCCTGGTCCAGCATGATGTCGCCTGGCCCACCACCACCGCCATCGTCGTCATCATCACAAGGACAGCATCAACAGCATCAGCCAATTCCATTGCACCAGACGCCGGTCCAACAGCAGCAACAGCAGCTGCAGCAGTTGACGTCACAAACCCCCTCCGAAGCCGTTTCGCTGGAGAACGCATTGGACGACCTGTGCAGGTCAGGCAGTCCAAAGCAAAAAAAAGTGCTGGAATCTCAATGAATGGCTCAAGTGGAGTCGGTGCATCGAGTACTGTTTGCCAATAGGGAACGGAGGTTGAACGTACTTATTCTGCGCGACTTGGTTTGTTTTCTGTCTGAAACAGTCGATTCCTCACGACAATTCCAGAAGACGAGCTCTCGTCATTCGAGCGTATTCTCTTTGCCATTGAGCAGGCCCATTGGTTTTACCTCGACTTTTACCGTCTGCAAAACCCCGCCCTGCCAAAGTTCTCCCTGAAGGCGTTTGCCACAAAAAATATCGGCGCAGATTGTTCACTCTGCTTGTTGCTTGTTGGAGAGTTGCGCTGCTGGTTGGACTCGATGATGATGATGATGTTGATGCATGCACTGGGCTCCTATCACAGAAGCCTCGAGCCTTTTGGAGTTCTTGACCATTGTGTCGTTGCGTTGTTTCTGTTCTCTGCCGATTCCCCCGCGTTTTTCGCTTCCTTGATGCTGCATCTCTTGCCATTGTGATCCTTTCGTTTTGTGTGGCTTTTCGATTTGGTTGTTGTGAGCACTCTTTCATCACATTCCAGAGTTCCGACAGTATGCGCAAAACGCCGACGAGATTTTTGCCAATTTCATCCAGTACAAGGTCCGAGTCCCCGTCTATGGCGCTATTCTTTTAAATCCCTCAATGGACTTGGTATGTGACGCGTTTTCGCATGATTGTTGACGACTTCTTTTGGTCTTGTGAAACGCGCGCTGATGTGGTGGTTCCCTGACTCTGTTCCAACCCCAAGTGCGTAATGGTCAAAGGATTTGGAAAGAACGCCGGATGGGCCTTCCCTCGAGGGAAGGTGAACAAGGATGAGGACGCGTTTGATTGCGCCGCTCGTGAGGTTATGGAAGAGACCGGATTTGATATCACGACTCTTGCAAACCCCAGCAGCCCGTATATCGAGTTGACAGTCCAAGAGCAGCTGAGTCGCCTCTATTTGGTTCAGAATGTTCCAGAAGATTCCGTCTTTGAAACGAAAACCCGCAACGAAATTAGCGTAAGCAGCGGCGGCTGCTGCTATGCCCGAGGCTGTTGCATTGGAGGCTGACAGCCACAACCTCTGTCCCCTCGTTCCTTTTTCTTTTTTTGTTTGTTCTGCATCTGCATTCAGTCCATCGAATGGCACCCAGTCCAATCACTCCCAACCTTCCAGGACTACCGCAAAGGCGACAAGCGCGCCAAGGCTTTCTGGCTTGTTCTACCGCAAATTCAGTGAGTAGCATCGTGTGATTGTTTGACCGCACTTGAATCGACTCACGTACGAATCAACCAATGCTTTCTTCCAGACCCCTGAAGGACTGGGTCAAGAAGACGAAGAGTGGAAAGAATGCCCCTCCCAAATCCATCCTGCCTCGACCTGCTACCGAGCCGCAACTCGGCTCTTATCACGTCCAACCATGTATGGGTGCCTTTTGTTTTGGTTGGTCTTTGCAACGTTGCCAGATTTGCTGCCCACTGAAAACTCAATGTGTGGGACAACATTGCGTCCTTCCTTTCTGTTGACGAAACTTTTCAGCTCCTCCTCCACCCCAGCGCGTTGCCAGCGACTTGGACCATTCGCAGAATTTAAAAGCAATCCTGGGGGTTGGCTCGCGTAGTAGCGCGTCCGCAACGCCCATCCAAGCCCCTTCGCCGATGCCTCCTCCAACCACGTTGTCTCCGGACGAACTCGCAGCCCAGCAGCTGCAAGTCTCAAAGGCGCTTCTTGCAATGATCAAGCGGACTGCACCGCATGACCAACCTCAGCAGCCAGTGGCTGATGCCGGCAAACTGTCAAACCAGCCAACCATTGCTCCAGCACCTGTTCCACGAACGCTTGCTGAGCGGTATCCAACGACAAAGGGAAACCTGCTTTCGGCCTTGCTCAAGCCCAACCAATCACCCACCGAGCTTGAAAAGGACGCGTTTGGAATCCTGCACTTTCATTCCAATGCGTGGACAAACTTTGGCCTGAACGTTGATGCGCTTGTTGCCGAGCTCGCGCCTGCCGACGGGCAGCACTGAGTAGCGGCTTTGAATTTCTTCGTTTCCCAAAAGAGCGTAGCAGCTTTTGCTGTATTATTGTACATGTACTTCACAACCGCAATATCAACGTTGCCTCAACGTCCATGTGCAATGTAGACAAGCCATATCAAGCTTACTTTCGTTTTTCCAATACGTTGCACTCTCGCTATGCTGCTCGACGTCGTTCCGTCGTTTTGTTGTTCTTTTTTTGGAAAAAAACCAGTCAATTCACCAAATACAACTTAGGATTGTTTGAAACAATCTGTTTCAGTCTTTCTTTTTCGTTGCTGTTGTCCTCGGAAAGTTGCTGCGGCCTCTTCTCAGCAAACCAGCAAAGTCATTGTTGCCGTCCTCGATGGCCACGCTCAGCTCCTTGCCCGAGTATGCGATTGCGTGCTCAAAATCGCGCGAGATTGTGGAGCATCGTCCGGACTACGTTGCTCAAATCCGAAACGAAGTCCCAAAGTACATCTACAGACGTCACCCTGGACTACTGGAGCGCCTGTCTGCCTTGCTGGACGCAACCGTCATCTTTGCACAAGATCACGCCGGGACAGGCGTCTGCGTCAGCAAGGATGGCTTAATCTTGACTTGCGCGCATTGCCTCGACGACGAAACGATCGGAGCTCGTCGAATCGTCCTCTTCCCTGATGGGCGCAAGTGTGTCGTCGAATGTGTCGCCAAGGATGACGTGCGCGACTGTGCGTTGATGCGAGTTGTGCAGGTGGATCGGAAAGTCGTTCGCGCGTCGGACAACATTTCGTTTCCATTTGCCTCGCTTGCTAGCCAGGGCGCTCTCCCGTGCTCGCTTGCATTCTGCATTGGGCAGCCTGCTTCTGACGACGAAGCGTCAAACTATCCATTGTTTTTCACCTCGCGTGGTGTGATTCTTGGATACCAGTCGAGCGGCGAAGATTTGCACCGGAACGACGAGATTGGTCAACTTATTCACTCGTGCTGGACATATTGGGGTCACAGCGGTGCCCCGATTGTGAACGAGGACGGACTAATTGTTGGGATGCATTCGAGTTGGGATGATAAAACAAACCGTCATGGCATTCCGCTTGAAGCGATTCGAGCGTTCATGAAGAGCGTTTGACTTTCGTGCATGTGAGAGTTTGCGAGTTTTTGTCCACACTCGCCCGCCCAGGTAATCAATCGCATTCGGGGATTCAGTAGTCAGCCACGTTTGTCTGCTCACTAGAATCACCGACTTCGGGACGGCAGAAGGGGGAAAGATGGAATGGATGTTGGAAACGTGGTACTGTCGATCTTTTTTGTTTTTTCCTTTTTTTGCTTACCGATCTGCCTTGCGATCTATTGTTAAATAAATACATTATAGACACGATATGAGGTCTTGGATGCTAGAAATCCATTGATGGCGAAATCGCAAGAGCGCGAAACACAGCGACTGCCAGACTTGACACAACTTGGTTCCATTTCGTGCCCGGTTTTCATTTTTCACGACACTTGCAACGAGCAAGAGGCTACTACTGGTTCGTCTACGTAGACCATGTATACCTTGCGATATTCTTCGCATCGTGTACGATAGCATGCTTCAGTTGTGGATGTCCAGCATTGCTTTTCATAGATCTAGGGTTTTCCACTGAACCAGTCCTGAATTGTCAAAGCTTTTCGGATGCTGTCGTTTCAAATTCTTACTCCAAAACAGCGCGAGTTGTACGACAGAGTCAAGAATGCGAATGAATGGCTCAAGTAAGCAAAAGCAAAAATAAAAAAAAGTTATTGGGACAGTGTGATGACGGTGCGATTGTTGACGAGATCACGGTCAGTTTGAGTTGGTCTCAGATGGACGACGCTGCAGCGCAGGTTGTTGCTGAAGCACTGAAATCGAACACGACGCTGACGCAGCTCAAGTAAAGTGCATCTTGTTGTTGCTGGTGCATGTGAGCGGGTGATTGCGGCAGTGGGCGCTCAGAATGGCTCACAACAGGTGTGTGTGTGTGTGTGTATGGGCAGCTTGGGGCGGAATCAGATTGGCGACACGGGAGCCCAAGCGATTGCTGAGGCACTCAAAGTGAACAAGGCGGTGACTGTCCTAGGGTATGGCAACTTACATGTACTGATGCATGTGGGGCAGCAGATGGCATTCACAGCGCTCACGGATATGGACAGGCTGAATGAGAATCGGGTCGGGGATGCCGGTGCGCAGGCGGTTGCTGAGGCACTCAAGGTGAACTCAACAGCGACTCAGCTCATGTAAGGCGTCTCACGTTCACGATGTATGGAAGGGGAGTGGTTTCAACAGAGGACATTCAGAGCGCTGACTGATGGAGAGGGGGTGGGGGCAGCCTCCATGACAATCAGATTGGCGACGATGGCGCACTGGCCATTGCTGAGGCACTCAAAGTCAACTCCAGGCTGATTTGGCTCGAGTAAGTCATCTCTCTGTGACTGACGCACGTTGAGTGGAGGATTGAAGCAGAGGGAATTCAGAGTTACTCACTGATGGAGGGATGGACAGTCTGGAGCGGAATCAGATTGGCGATGCTGGAGCGCAGGCGATTGCTGAAGCACTCAAAGTGAACAAGACAATCGCTGAGGTCGAGTAAGTTGCTGTGCACTTTGCCTTGTCTCGACACCGAGCCAGGTTCAGCCAGACCTTGCCTTTTTTCGTTTTTTTTTTTTTTTCCGTTTTGTTTTGTTTTTTTGGACGTCATGCTCACCTATTGAGCGACAGGTTAAGATACAATTGCATTGGCAACGCTGGTGCTAACGCTCTTGATGAGGCATGCACAATCTATGACACGTGTGAAGTCGAGTAAGTTGTGCTTGCCAAGGCATCGGAATGCTCAGGCAACCAATTGGCCGACTGCTCATTTAATTTGATTGTTCGTTGTTACACAGCTTCTCCAACCAGGTCAGCCCGCTTGCATTCTCATTGTTTCCACGGTCAGCAACGGCTGAAGAGCTTCAAACTGTGTTTCACTTGCTGATTAGCGGACTAGAGCAGCAGCATCAATCCTCGTCGCTATCAGCGCTACCAGTACTACCAGCACTACCAGAAGAGCTTGCTGAGCGAATTATGGACGAAGCGTTTTACTGGCAAGGCGTGCAGCACATCAAACGCTTGCAGTTTGCGAGCAGTCACCCCGCCGATACGCTCAAAGTCACAGTGCCTCGGAGCATCGATGGCACTTCGATCCGTGTGAAAGCGATTCAAGTACTTCGTGACAGAAAGGAACTTAGCGACGTCACAAATAACAGCGTTTTTGATTTGATCGTTCGCGATGGGCAAGGAGCGGTTCAATACGAATGCGCTGCGAAACCGACACTCGTCGATTCGACGCTCCAATCCGTGACGATCTGGCCAGCGGATCATCCCATCATTCGACAAATACGGGAGGGCTGGGAAGTTCAAGTTCGGCCCAGCAAGTTTGCGCGAGATGTGCGGTTTGAGTCGCTGTATGTCGGATATGTCTGACGGCAAATCATTGGAAATCCCTCTTGTTTCGAATCAGATCCTGCTCCACCCGAATATAGAGAATAGGTACAAGAAATTTATCGAGAGAAAAAGAGAGAGGGACTGAGTCAAAGTTGTCTGTTTCACACAAAAGTGCATCTCCATTGTTCCCGTCATTTTTTTGCTCACCGACTATGAACTTGAATGCAATGCACGAATCTGGAAAGTGTCGAAGCGAAAAGTGCATTTAATCGCTTCTTTGCCCTCAAATTTGAGGGTTGCAGTCCTTGTTTGTTGATCACAAAGATGGTTCATGAACTTCCAGCGTTTGAGAGAATGACTCTGAGAGAGCGCGAGTTGCATGACCAAGTCATGAATGAGACTGGACCGCTGTCGTAAGTAAAGGCCGAACTCATTGGAACAGTGTGACAGCGCATGTGTTTAACGAACTGGACGAACCGGAGTCAGGATGAGTGACATCCAAGCTGACGACGCAGACGCGCAGACGATTGCTGAGGCGCTCAAAGTGAACACGACGGTGACCTGGCTCTCGTAAGGCGTCTCGCTTGGACTGATGCATGTGAGAGGGTGCTTGCGACCGAGAGCATTTTTCAGAGTGGCTCACGGATGGACCCGCGGGGGGGGGGATATGGACAGTCTGCGCTCGAATCGGGTTGGGGCTGCTGGTGCGCAGGCGCTTGCTGAGGCACTCAAGGTGAACACGACAGTAACTCAGCTCTAGTAAGACGTCTCAACTGTACTGACAATGTTGAACAGAGGACTGACTGATGGAAGGGATGGGTCAGTTTGGGCGACAATCGGATTGGCGATGATGGAGCAGGAGCGATCGCTGCGGCGCTCACAGTGAACATGACCGTAACTCGGCTCGAGTAAGTCATCTCGCTTTGACTGGTGCATGAGAGCTGGCGATCCAGCAGAGGACGGTACGAATGGCTCACTGATTGGAGGGCATGAACAGTATGAGTATCAACGAGATTGGCGACGCTGGCGTTCAAGCGATCGCTGAAGCGCTCAGAGTGAACACGACGGTGATTGTGCTGCGGTAATGCATCTCACGCGGAGTGATGCTAGCAGAGAGCAGAGAGCATTCAGAGCTCTCACTGGTGGAGTGGATGTGGATGGGGACAGGTTGTACGCAAATCAGATTCACGATGTTGGGGCGCAGGCGCTGGCTGAGGCACTCAGCGTGAACAAGACAGTGACTCAGCTCTAGTAAGTCATCCATCTCTTTGACGGATGCTTGTGAGTGTGTGATTCAGCGGAGGATGTTCAGAACGCCCACTGATGGACGAGACGGACAGTCTGCAACTAAATCAGATTGGCGACGTTGGAGCTCAAGCGATTGCGGAGGCACTCAAGGTGAACACGGCATTGACTGTGCCAAAGTACGTTTCTGCTCATCGTTTGCTGATGCATGTGGGTGATTTCAGCAGAGGGAAGTCAGAGTTCTCACGGATGGAGAGGGGATGCACAGTCTGGGTGGAAATCGGATTGGCGATGCTGGTGCGCAGGCGATTGCTGAGGCACTCAAAGTGAACGTAACGGTGACTGAGCTCTCGTAAGGCACCTCACGCTGACTGATGCATGTGAGTAGATGATTCAGAAGAGTGCTCATTGATGGATGGGATGGACAGTCTGCACACCAATCAGATTGGCGATGCTGGAGCCCAAGCGATTGCTGAAGCACTCAAAGTGAGCCCGACGCTGACTAAGCTCAAGTAAAGCGTCTCACTTCATTGGTGCATGTGAGTGGGTGATTTCAGTAGAGGGACAACAAGAGTGGCTCACTGATGGAGAGGATGAGCAGTCTGAATGAGAATCAGATTGGCGACGCCGGCGCTCAGGCGATTGCTCAAGCACTCAAATTGAACCAGACGCTGACTACGCTCTAGTAACTCGCCTCATTTATTTTGACTGAAGCATATGAGTGGGGTGCTTTCAGCAGAGGGGCGTTAAGAATGGCTCACCGATGGACAGTTTGGTTCGGAATCGGATTGGCAATGTTGGTGTGCAGCCGATAGCCGAGGCGCTCCAAACGAACACGGTGCTGACTCATCTCGAGTAAGTCATCGAACTTTGACTGCTGCATGTGAGTGGGTGACTTCAGCTGAGGACATGACGAGTGCTCACGGACTGGAGAGGGAACGGACAGTCTGGGTGAGAATCAGTTTGCCGATGCTGGAGCGCAGGCGATTGCTGAGGTTCTCAAAGTGAACAAGAGGCTGGCTTGGCTCAAGTAAGGCCTCTCGCACTGACTGCTGTATGTGAGTGGGTGCTCCTGCAGCGTTCCGCAAAGGTGTGCTCACTGATGGAGGCGACGGACAGCTTGCCTGACAATCAGATTGGCGATGTTGGAGCGGAGGCGATTGCTGAGGCACTCAAAGTCAACACGACGCTGACGTATCTCAAGTAAGATGCTATCATTGCACTTTACTCATCTTCGACGTTCCCTTTGAGCCACGTTCGCCCCCCCCCCCATATTTTGTCACCTTGCCATCCATTCTGACTATATTCCTATTGCGCAACGACAGTCTACGATCAAATTGCATTGGCAATACTTTTGCTCGAGCGATTGACGAGGCACACCATGTCAACGGCCAGAGTACGGTTGAGTAAGTTGGTTGGTGCCAAAGTGGTCGATTACTGCTTCATGCAATGTACATCCAGTGGCACTGCTGACGGCTCGTTTCGGTTGCTTGTGCGTTCGTGGCACAGCATCGACAACCAGATCAACCCGCGAGTGTTTTCCTTCCACCCACGGTTTGCAACGCCGGAAGAGCTTCGGACTGTGTTTCACTTACTCATCGGTGGATTGGAACTGAAGAATCAATCCGCATCTCTGCCAGCACTGCCAGGCGAGCTTGCTGAGCGCATTATGGCTGAGGCCTATTGCTGGCAAGGCGTGCAACGCACCAAACGAGAAGATTTTGATGACGATACCTCCCTCCCTCTCAAAGTCACACTGCCTCAAGGCATCGATGGAAGTTCGATCCGTGTGAAAGCCATCCAAGTGCTCCGTGACATGGAGCATCTCGTTGATCACGTCGTTGATTTGATTGTCCGAGACGAGCTAGGCGCTGTGCGATACGAGTGCTCAGTGAAACCAACAGTCGTCGATACGACCCTTGAGCTTGCAACGATCATGCCTGCGGCTCATCCCATCATCCGACAAATGCGCGAAGGTTGGGAAGTTCAAGTTCGTCCCAGTGTGACTTACTGGCACGTGCGATTCGAGTCTCTTTATGTCGGATATGTCTAACGACAACAAAGCCGTGACAGACCGGTGGGGTCAAGCCACGCTCCGAAGAAATCTTTACGCTCATGCTACTGCAATCTGACGATTCATGTAATACCGACAAACAAAGACAAGGGACATTCTAACAAAGCACTCAAACCACCAACACAAACACCGATAACAACACGTTTCGTTCAAAGCATTACTTTACCCCCTTGATTTTCAAAACAAACACAGAGCCAAGAATTAGATAGACGGCAACTGAAAGAAAGAGAATCATATAGTTGAAGGCGCATTCTTGGCCGCAGCCGAGATCGCGGAACTGGTCAATAATAAAGCCACCGATGGGCGTGGCCAGAACCTGCGGCAGAATCATGGCGTTGTGCCAGACAGCCATGTCCTTGGCATTGTCCTTCTCGGCGGGGAGAATGTCCATGACCATGGCAAAGTCCACTGAGAGATACGTGCCGTAGCCAATGCCAAAAAAGAGCGAAAGCGGAATGAGCGGCTCAAACACTCGCACAAATGCCAGGCCGACAGCGCACACGGTCATGAGTAGTCCCGAAATGATGACGAGCGCCTTGCGACGGTGGCCGAGGCGGTCGCTAATGACACCGCCGAGCACAGCTGCCGGGGCGGCTGAGATGAGCATCGGCATAAAAAACAGGGAGACGGCGCGGGAGGCGGTCATTCCTTCCGGCAACGAGACGGAATCTTCCAGCCAGAAGGCGAAAAAATAGGTGACGGTGCCGTACGCTTGCTGGACGAGGAAGCGCGTCAAAAACACCCACGTAAAGTCCGAGTTCTTGAACGGGTCCGTGTAGCCCTTCCAGATGGAGCGCAGAGAGAAGGGCGCGTGAGGAGCAGCCACGGGCCTCGGCTCGTGAATGGTCAAGAGGGTCACCATCTCGCTTGCCACGAAAATGACGCAAATGATGGCGTAGACGGCGACAGTCCCGAGTTGATCGTAAAAGACGCCGATGGCGGCGCCAACAAGATAGCCGACTGCCGTAAACCCGCCCATGGCGCCGGACGAAAAGCCTCGACGCGTCAGATGGGTCATGTCAGCCAACAGGCCGTTGTAAGGCACAGCCATGATGACATAGAAGCCTGTCGCAAGGATGTAGAGCACAATATACACGCCAAGGTTGCCATCCTGGCACGGCGGAGTGTACTCTGTATAGTTGGCCGCGGGCGAGGCGGTGGGCGACGGCGTCAGAGCAGCCGTCGAAGTAATCGTGCCAGAAGAAGAAGAAGAAGAAGATGATGATGATGATGATGATGATGATGATGAAGAAAAACTGGCAAACGATGATGGTTCAGTCGCGTTGTGATAAACTCTTTGGGTGCCGCAATTCTCTTCGTTGGGGATGAGCGTGACCTCGGCAGAGAGTGCCATGAAGAAAATGACCATAAAAATGGTTCCGAAAATCATAAAGGGCCGTCGTCGACCCAAACGAAAAGTGACGCGATCGCTCACCATGCCGATGAAGGGGGACATGAACACGGTGATTAAAGCACCCGCAGCAATCGTGCCACCAAGCGCAACACCCTTGTCGTCGTCGCCCGCGATCGTCTTGACCTGTAGCGGCGTGACAGTGACCGACAGCAAAAACCAAGCTGTCGCAATGCCAAACCAGGAAAAGT